GACCGAGAAGAAGAAGCCGATGAGAAAGCCGGCGAAAGACGTGCAGAAATTCCGAATTCACCTAATTTGGAATTTGTGAGTTTTACTCTTTTACTACATGTTCAAGTCGGTTTTACAGGCTTCATCTCCTAATTTTTAGGAGTTTTATCTCTATTTTTTAGGGATAAGATCATTTAAATCGTATCACACTTGTGGAAAGGTAAGAGATAAGATCATTTAAGTCTTATCATGATCATGGAAGGATAAGATTTGATGATTCTCTTTTATCTATTTTTGAGATTTTTCACAATAAGAACACTATTCCTTGGTGTCTACTCTCAACCGTTGGATGAAGATTAGATCAAAATTGGATGGCTATGATTACTCTACAAAGAAGATATTGATAGACTTGACAACGCATGAACATTCTTTTCAAGATAAAGATAAGATTCTTTTGAGAGAATGTCTCTTTATATTTGGAATTTTATTTTCATTAGACTAGAGTGTCTTGAGTCTATAAAGGTGTCTAGATACATTTCCTTAATAGATAAAACACAAGTTGTCAAATTAGAATTTTATTTGATTTCTAATTCTTTAAAGTAGGAATAGAGTTAGAAATCAAAATCTTATATTACTTCTTAGGAGGATTGTCGGCCCCACTACTATAAATAGGAGTGCTTTGCTAGTTTTTGAATGTGGCCTTTTTGATGAATATACAAACTTGAGAGGAGAACTCCTTGTTTGTTTGACCTTTTGAGGTTATTTTGCTTTTTGCAAGATCTAGTAATTTGCATAAAGTAGCGAACATGCATTTAAGGGTAGTGTCCTTGTTTGTGGAGTTCTTTAGATGTCATTGTAAGGGAGCACATCTATCTATCGTCATTGATGAGAATCATATAGCTTCACATTGAAGTCAACATCAAATGAAGGAGCAAAAGGTGTTCTTGTCAGTTGGTGGTCCAAGATTGTTTCCGTTTAAGAATAGAAGAAAGTTTGCTGTGAGAATTTGGCCTTATTTGGAAGAGTTATCCCAACACCTTCTAGTGGGAACATTGAAATTCAGGAAGAATCGCTTAATCAAGATCAAGGCTTGGAAGAATCTAATGAAGACTTTGCTAACTATTGGAGTGATTAAAGTGAGGAAGATTCAAGTGATGTCCAAGAGATTGATTCCAGTGAGTTTGTTCCAAAGAGCAAGCATCTTGAAGAGATTGAAGATGCATATTCAAACATGTAGAAGACTTCATTGGAGCTTGGAGATTTGAATTGGAGCCGTGCGCGCCAACCAAAAAGAGTGAAATGCGGGGGGAGTATTTAAATATTTTTATTTAAATTATTTGTTGTGTCCGTAAATAGATAATAAGTCTATTTACCTAGAGTTAAATAAAAATTTTACCCTTAAGGTAACTTCTATAGGGGTCGGCCGAATGGTCCTTATTTCATTAAGGGTAGATTAGTCTTTTACCATTAAAAAGAAGTAAAGTTAATTATTTTGCTTGATGGTTAAGTTTAATTAGAGTTTGAGTCAAAATCGACTATGTCTTTCCTTTCTATGCATTGGATCGAGTGGTGTGCAAGTAAAGTAGCTTTTCTTAGCCTAAACTTTAGGTAATTTTAGGGTTTGTGTCTTGGAGAGCAAGAGAAGCTTGCCTGTAAAAGGAGGCCGAATTGCCTTCAAAAATGTATGTCAAAATATCAAAAATTATGAGTCAATGAAATTGATTTGAGGCCTTTGTGGTTTTCTTAAACAATACGCGTTTCTTGTTATTTCGAAAGAGAAGAATGGTTAGTTCTTTCTTTCTTTCTTAGAACCTAACATGTGACTTGGTTCTTTGAGTTAAACCGTTTTATCATGTTGAGCATATTGAATGATTTAATTATTTTTAAACTAATTTTCTTATTGTCTTTAGAGGTAATAGTCAATAGGTAGAGCATGTTTGAATTGCTTAGTTTGTTCGAGTATTATGGCTATTAGTCATAGAAAAGCCTTGTTGGTTTATCTGTTCTTATAGATGAGTTTGTTTGGAAATAGCATGATGAATAATGTGTTTTGTTTTGCTTATTGCCTTGGTTACAAATGCGTACGGTCCAATATAGAGATATATTCGATAGTTTGTTTGTAGTTGAGTGAGTGATTTGCTCTTTACATGTGTCGTCAATTGTATGGGTGATTGTTCGATTATATTGAGGGGTTTCATCTTTTTAAAGATTAAGTTGTTCAATCCGAATGGTTATTTGGATTTTGTGTTATGATCTTTTGCTTGAGTTCATACGGTATAGAAGTTCTTTTCAACGGTCTAGTTTATTTGTGAAAATTCCACACTCTTTTAGAGTTTCGCTTTTAAACATATTTTCAATATCTTTCTTGTTGATGGTTCCATTAACGAAATTTGGTTCGCCTACGAGATTGCCATCAGTCATCATAATCTTTAAGCGGGGGATGTTAGCGTCGTTACTCTTGGTGTAGCAACAACATCACTTTTCTTCATTTCTATCTTTCCATCCCTTTTTTGTTAGAGTTTTTGTGGCTCTACCTTCTTTGTGTTCTTCGTGGTTTTTGTGGTTTGGGGCAAAAATGAAGTCTTTGGGCAAGTTTTTCGTATCATTTCAAGTAAAATCTATGTCGATTTGCGCATTAGAATTTATTTTACTAGTAGTTTCACTATTGGTCGAATAAATTCACATCAATGATCTTTCTCATCCAGATCAGCTCTTAAGAACAAACTTCAGGTTAGCCTCATAAAAAGCGTTAGTGCCAATATAGCATTCATGCATTGCACACTTTAAATTCTGCCAATAATTGCAATTTTTAAACAAAAAGTGCGAATACACAAGCTTCCACCAAACTAAGGCATTAGAGCAAAAACACCCTATTGCTAAAGCTAGTTTCTCATCCTCTTTCTCAATGTCAAGTACAACAAAAAGATTTTCTATACTCCTTTCTCATGTTTTAAATTCACTATGACAACCATAAAACAAGGGCAACTTAAACTTCAAAGCACCCACATGGGAAGGAACATGCTTTTCACACAAATTTCCACACATAACGTCAACACTTTTAGCAATTTCCTCAAGACACTTTCTCTAGTTGTTGAGTAAGAGAAACCGCCATCACCATGTTAAGCTTCTTGACTTTTGGACACAACCACGTTCAAATATACAAGTTGGCTTTTAATGAGCTTCACTTGCATCTCAATCTCCATTGTCATGCAACCTTCACTAGCTTGACACATTTTACCCACCTCAGAACTCATGCTTTTTAAGCAAACGAACCACCACCAACAAGGATCTTTATTATACTTTTGGACTCACACAAAGAAAACCATAATACACGAACCAAAAGAAAGGCCAGATCAAAACACCCCGTGGAACCAAAGCAAGGTTCGAAAGAAAACACTCCCCAAGAAAACTCTCTCTTGCTTTTAAGAGCACTCTACCTCACAAACATTTGACACAGAAAAGAAGAGAATAAACCAACTTGGAACCCTTGATGATCCCAGGTCCGCAAAAGAAGAGAAGAAAAGTTGGGAGAATAATTGTGAGAATTTTTGACAAACCTTAACCCTTTATATAGGCATGACAAGTCTTTTTGTACAAGAAAAATTCCTACAAAAATAGGACCTAAATATTCTCAAAGTGATTTTTTTCACAGAACAAAAAAAATCTATTTTATTATATGAATAAAATTCATGTATTAAATTTTCGACCACTTCCTTAGAAGAAAAAGGAAAGAATCCTTAATAACTAGTTATTCACTTTCTTTTAGGAAATAACTCAATAACAAAGTTAGATACTTATCAAATAAGAAAACTCAATTCCTATTAATTAGAGGTAAAATTTTTGGACCCCCTCCTAATAAATAGCACACATTAATTCATCCAAAGATTCAATTCACATTGCATTCAAACACCGAAATCAATTAAAACACAAACCCTAATTTACCTTTTTAAAACTTATATTTTCAATAAATTCACAAAAAGTAAAGAAAATCATACTTTCACTGAAATTGTAATTAAACACATGAAAATATAAATTTAACACAACTAGTTAAAATTTTGAAAGTTTCTGACAATTAAAAAGAAATTTTGGAAAACCACTTCCCAAGGTGTTAGAAAAAATAGTTTCTAAAAACCTCTTTCCAAATTTTATGGAATCATAAAAAATAATTTTGCACGTAACAATTCATAACAAAATATAGTAACAAGAATACCAAAATTGCAGCAAACTCGGAAAATTTGAATTTCCTCATTCAATTATGACATTTACTTCGTCATACTAATTTTCACACAAAAAATTTCAAAAGACTCAATGGTTCAACACAAGGTCATCTTTCAAATATGATAATTGGAAATAATCTTTCAAAAACCAAAATATGTAAACTTCGAGATATTAAATCTTAGCACTTAATAAAGAATTCTCTTTAAACACATAGGAAGCAAGAGAAGACGCTTCTCAATTTTTGAATGGTCTTCCAAAAACTAAGCTCACATATTAGTAATGATTAAACAAGGATTTCCCAAGATTTTAAAGACTCATCAAATCTTAAAATCTTACGAAACTAGAGAACTATGATATTAAAGCTTCATAGTTGAATCTTTACACAAGTCAAAAGACTAAATTTCAAAATTGGCACAAACAACTTTAAAATTATATTTTTATCAATCTTAAAACATTAAGAAAACACATTATAAGTCACGGACTTATAACAAGATTTTGATCTCACAACAAACTAGATACCCTTCACGATAGATTTTAAAGAAAAACATACACATACACACATACCATGTGGTTTTCCCATATCGCGGTGTGTCTCTTAATTTCTACCTAGGCCGACACCCATCAAAACTCCGCACCTCCTCATCCAATGAGGTCAAGGATACTTTCGTATCTGTGAAGGCATTACAAGGGTTAGACGTTGATCTAATCAAAGGTGTTGGGTTGATCCATCACTTTGGAGTCACCCACAGAGGTGTATCCCTTGGAAATGTGGTCATATGCTTCAATAATTGCGAGGATTATTGCGAGGATTTTACGTGGAAATCCCCTGCCCTAACCTCTCTTCCTGATGCTATGCAATTTACAGGCTTGGATTTCGCCGTAGAGGCCTAGAACAAGGATGTTGATGCTTTCCTCTATGGATCAAATGATGGTTGGTACAAGTTCAATTTGAATTATACTTATGCTCCTCCGGAGGCTTTTGACACCAAAGCAAACTTATCAAGTTTCTTATCTCCAAGCTTCGACTTTGAAACAAATATCTAATCTCACAGGCAACATTGATAATCGTCTTTCCCCATCAATTGAAAGGGTTTTTAGTGATTTCCTTGATGTGGCCCCAAATGGAAGAATTAAACTTGTAACTGCTTTAACACTACCCTTCTTTGAGCATGCGTCCTCCGCAACAAAAGATCCATATTCTCTCTCAAAATTTTCTGCAGTTGCAGCCAACCTGGCCATTGTTGTTGAAGTAATCAATTTAACTGCATCAATTCTAAACTTATACTTTGCTCGGAAGAATCGCCATGGACATAGTCACCATGTTCATAGTGGGGAAGGAGGCTTGGATGGAGTCATGGATTGTGTGAAGGATTGCGTGCAAGATGCTTTGGAGGACGAATGAAATACTGTCTGATTGTTTGTTGAATATATTTTGCTAGTTACTGTTTCTCAATGAAAAAACTTTATTCGAACCTAATCTTATGTTTTGTTTTATTTTGGTGCTGTATGTATTGCACAGACATTAAAATGTAGCATTCGCCTTTACCCTTGTAAGGGTGTCCAACATGGAGTAAGAGTGGTGCTTCCTTCGGCCCACTAAGGCAGTACATAGCTTTATTGCACTTTATTTAAACACTAGAGAGCATTATTAGATTGTCACCAAATGTTACTACTACGACTACTACTACTATACTGCTCAAACCGAAGGAAGAAAGCGTAGTTGAAACAAAATCCCACCACACCCTTCGGCTGAAATTGTACAGCCAAACAAATTCAATATCATCATTTTGTAGATTAAAAAAACCACACGCACACATTCTAAGTCATTGGACAAAGATAGTTTTAAAACACAAAACATGATTCATGGAAGTTCCATTAATGAAAAATCTACAAATTCGACTCATTCTCATAGTTACATACTAAGATGTACCAAAAAACTAAAACTATAAAACTAGATTTTGAAAATTCTATAGCAAAATTGATACCAAAATTGATGTTGGAAATCCCAAAAAACGTGCTATGAGAATTAAAATTAATTTTTTAAAAATCATTTTGAAAACAGAAGACAAGACCAAAACTAATAATCTACCAATCTACCAAATCTTCATTGATTGAAAATCCATAAACTCTGTTTTACTCATTAGATTCAAATGAAATCCAACAAGAAGGCTACTTCATTTATACTTCATGTAAGAATTACAAAAGCATCAAGCTTCACCTTTCAAAGAATCGATCCGAGATTCTCAAACCTTTCTCAAAGACATCTCTTTTGGAAAAAAAAATAAAAGCCATAAGCTTTCGCTTCACATCAGTTCATTTCTCATATATTTAACAAACGAGATCCATTAACTCGCTCATAACACAAAGAATCTTCTACTCGCAAATCAAGGACGAATTTTGAGATGTAGCACTGACTTGGACTAATGGTCGAAGGCATCATCATCAAGTACTCACAGACCTAAAAATAGCTCTCAAGCTCCAACGTATGTGTAAAAAGTCACACACCATCACACAAAAGACGAGATCCCAATTTGAAAATATAGTTTTCACAAAGATTCGATTTTATTCTTTTCAAAACTCAATCAAAGAAATAACCTTGAATCAAATAAAATATAGTACTAATGTTCTTAGCACAAATCTGGATTACCACATCAAGTAATGGATTTCATGGTAATTCAAAATCTTTCTCAAAACCAAGAACTATGAAGTCCTTAATCACAAGAAATTTTGTCAAACACATAAAAGTGATTCATAAAAAAACCTGAAAAAGTCTCTAAATTTCACAACCCTCAGTATCCTTGCTCTGATACTAAACATTGATAGCAATATCGTAGATAAACCAAATTTTGTTAATGGAACCATCAAACAAGAAAGTACAAACATAATATGTCTGTCGTGTGAAACTCAAAAGAGTGTAGGAAAATCACAGTAAGACAATCACTTGCTAAGGGCTTTCATCTCTTAACCCAAACCAAGCAAAGAATACATAATCTATGAAATATTCGAATTAATTAACAACCCACAAAATAGTAAGAACACTATTCAATACACTTGAAGAATTACTTATCAAAGACTCGAAATATGTAGGAGCAACCAATGCTCAACTACAAAGAACTCATGTTGAATTAGTAATCTCCATAACCAAGAACCAATTTGCAATCAGCACATAAGATTCCCTTAATTAACCCAAATCGAAACTCATCCATAAAAAGACAAATCTGGCAAAGAAATTCAATAACATAAAAATTCGAAAACTCATGCCTTAGAAAAGACACACCTCTCGCATACACTAGTATGAAAACAAGTAAATATTTGTTTTTAAAAAATTCTATCAAGAAGCATATTTGAAAAAGAACGATCTTTGCAAGATCTTAAAAGACCCCAACAAGATGATAATTTCCCATGAATTAAACAATCTAGAAATGAAGAAATTGACGTACTATTTAACAAAACTTCATAAAGAAGACTCTCATTAGAAAAGAAAACAACTCACCAACCAAGGTACGTTTTCGAATAGACCAAGCCCTCTATTTATATTGTAGCTTTCTTGATCATTAAGCACCAAAGAAAAGAAGATTAATTTGGACTCTCTTCCTCCTTATTCTCACGTAGGAGTAGGAAGTAAAAGAGGAATAGATCTCTTTCTAACTCTATCTCTATCCTAGGAATTCATATCAAATAAATTAAATCAAATCTTATCCTTTTTGAAAATGAATAGGATCAAAAGGAATCAAAGGAGATTTCCCCAAATGTCTCCAGCAAATCTTGGCCAACATGACTCTATTCGCACTAGATATTTTTGAATTAATTACTAGGTAAAAATTAAGGCTCTTATTGAAAGTAAATAACTCCAAATACTAAAGATACAAAAAGTTGTAGATGCCCTTCTTCCAAATAATTGCTCTCACACCCTTACACTTGTAGATGATTTGATCTTTACTCCAATATTCGTGACTCTTATATAGAATAAGAATAACACTTGTTAGTCCAATCCTTGACTCCACAATCGATCCTAAAGTCTCGAATTGTGTAGCAATGAACTCCATTCCACGAACTCTTATCAATTAGGTCGTCCATTCAAGAACCTAAATGGCTTCTCCAAGAGTTTGCTAGATCAACAAGATTCATTTTGGCTAGGGTTTTGAGTCGTAACTAACTCAAAATCTCTTGCACTCATTTTCATGATTTCATCATCTTCTTTGGTTTGATCTCTAAAATTAATGGCATGCTTATCAACTTGATCACAACTTGCTTTTGCTTAGATCAACTACTTATCCCAATAATAGTCGATGTCCATATTCTCCTCCTTAATTGGTCTGCAAAGATAACTCTTCATCTCAAGGGGATAGCCATTAGGATCACCACAAGAATGAAGAACCAGCAAAGTCTCCCCTGATGGAGAGCTTGGATGAGAGGCTACATGACCAATGTATGCTCATGTTTGTCGACATCTGGAGCATCCGCTTTGTTAGGCCCTTTATTTCAATAAATTTTTTTCGAAAAGAAAGCTAAATTAACAACAATTATTTACTTGTAAGACCCTTGGTAAATCGGGTTAAAATTATTGGACCTATTTGCAAAAATAGAAAAGAAAAAGGGGTCCAGTGACTGGTATAAACTTGGAGGGGTAGGGATTTATATAATAGAAAGTATAAGGGCTTATTGGAGTTGCTCTAATCAGCGCCTTTTTTGCCATCTTGAAATTGCCAGCTAACCACCATCCATTCAAAAGAGACCACATGGAACTGTTTACATGAATGGTTCTATCAAAAACCTCAGCAAAATGATCCCAAATTAGTCGGGCATGAGCACAAGAAAAGAAGAAATGTGACATTGAATCTGCATTATTTCGGCACTTATAACAAATTGATGGCTGAATATAGAAACCTAGAAAGCTAAATACCTTTGGAAAATGATGCAAGTGATCACAAATCTTCCTCAAAAAGAAAGAAATCCGGAGGAACACATTTATGCCATATATTTGGGTTATATCATTCACCGTTTGTCGACACCAAATACTTCATACGCCGATTTAACAGAGAAGTACCTAAAGTAGTTGGTGTCCATACATTTTTGTCCTTCCCCTCTGAAAAATGTTGCTCCTAATTACTCAAATACTGTAAAACATCAGCCGAAAGTATTGAAGAAAATTCAGGTACAAAAAACTCTCTCTCTTGAAAGAACTTCTTGATAGTTAGCCATGAATATGGTGGCTCTTCCAACGGAACATCCCATATAACCCCTTGTTGTCTTTCCAAAAATTTCGATCACCGCCATGAATGAGAACTTTGGATTCGAAAGCAGCATCGTAATCTAGCTTTGCAATTCTTGTCCCTGAGGTCTTACAGGCTGATTTTGACAGCGACAAAAGGAAATTCGCCCAAAGACATTTCCTATGTTTAATCTTCCACCAAAGTTGTGCTGAAAGAACTTTTGAAACATCACAAAACTTTCTTAAACCCACCCCATTCTCACTGTAAAGGTAACTCAATCGGTCCCAAGATCTCCAATGTCTCTGCCCTTTATCATTTGAGCCTTCACATAGGAACTTTTGACATTTTTTTTTCGATAGCATCAAGAAGGGATTTCAGCAGGTCCATGACCACAAAAATATGAATTGGAATAGCTGCAAACACATGCTTTATAAATAGAAGAGGTCCTCCTTAACTTAGAAGTTTTTTTTTTTTCAATTAGCAAGTTTCACATCCAAAGTTTTCAAGATGTATAGAAATATGGCGGACGTTTTTCTTCCCTCATACAGTCTGCAACCAAGGTAAACAAAAGGGAAAAACCCTTTTTGGAAAAAGCCTACTGGCCTACTGGACTTCCTTTGTTAAAATTGAAAACCAACTATTGCGAAGATTTGATAAGATTAATCGAATGAACTGCAGAGGAAAACCAAATCTTGCAAGCACTTCCTCCAAGAAACTCCACCGAACGCCTTCATCATGTTAACTTTGAGCACCATATTATTCCCAACTGACGTATGATTGATTAACTAATGGAGGTCTTGAGCCAACAATATGTTGTCGTTATGTCACATCCTGCCGAAAAAACCGATGATGTTATAGGAAAGTTTCCTACCTTAGTGACACAACATGAATCTTTGGATTAGATTTTTATATTGTTTATTTTTTTTCATACGGTTGATTAAATTACTTAGTCCGATTTTTTACTACTGTATTACGTAAAACCTCGAAATATACGGTCCAATCATCTTTCCTATCCAGTTGGCGTTCTTTTTTAACTTCCAATTTGTTCACTTCATAGAATCGAAGAAGTCAAAAAATTATTTTTCCCGTAAAGAAGAAAGCAATGCCAATATAATCTAAATTTCCTTCTTTTTATTTTCTCGTGTAAATTTTGTTTTCCCATAAAATATGAATCGCAAGAATACTAACC